ACTGTGCCTCAATGCCAGCCCCTCTCTGACCTCTTAAATTTGGAGTGCCCAGGACACAGCTCTTGGTCCATCTCTGGGTCTATGTGTACTCCATTGGAGATCTCACCCAGTCACATGATTTTGATACCATCAATATGCCACCAACTTCAAGCTTTGACAATTGTCCTGAACTGTAGTCTGCCTACTCAGTATCCCTACTGAATATCTATCAGGGCATCTCAAATCTATCCTGTTTAAAGTTGAGCTCCTGCTCCTTCCAGCAAACTTATCTATTCAATATTTTCTGTTCAGTTGTTGACAACTCTATTTTCCAGTGAAATAATAAAAATCATTGGGGCTGGCACTGAGGCATAGAGGGTTAAGCTGCCACCTGCAGTGGCAGCATTGCATATGGGTTCCAGTTCAAATCCTGGCTGCTCCACTTCAGATCCAGCTCTCTGCTATTGGCCTGGGAAAGTAGTAGAAGATGGCCCAAGTACTTAGTTCCCTGCACCCATGTGGGAGACCCAGAAGAAGCTCTTGGCTCCTGGCTTTGGATAAGCCCAACTCTAGCCAATGCATTCATTTGGGGAGTGAAATAGTGGATGGAAGATTCTCTCTCTCTCTCTCTCTCTCTCTCTCTCTCTCTCTCTGAGTGTGTGTGTGTGTGTGTGTCTTCCCCCCCATCATTCTGCCTTTCAAATAAATAAATAAATCTTAAAAAAAAATACAACCCATTGAAATCATCCATGTCCCCTCTCTTTCACTTATACCCGTATTTAAGCCATCAAGAGGTTTTATTGGCTCCATTTTCAAAATACTTCCAGAGTTTGACCACTCAAAACTAACTGAATTGCAACTACCTGGCCTGACCTATCGTCATAGGTCAAATCTACCCTCATTAGTCAAATCCACCATCTTAGTTCACCTGGATTGCTTGCAGGATCCTAATGGGGCTCCCTGACTTGACCCTTGCCCCACCTCCACACTAAGTCTTTTCTCAATACAACAGCTAGAGAGATCCATTTCAAACCCTGTCATATTGCCTCTCTACTAAGCTCCACACTCTCCAGTGTCTTCCTGTTTTTAGGGAAAGCAAAATCCAGAGTCCTTCTGATTAATCATATGTCCTACGGCTGTCTGACTCCCTAGCTTACTCTGATTTCCTTGATGTTCCTAGAACACAGCGGGCCCACTTCAACCTAAGGGGCTTTGCACCGGCTGTTCTCTCTACTTGGAACACTTCTTCCCAGATATATTCTTGGGAACAAGTCTGTCAAGACTGCTTTCTCACTGAATTCTATCCTATTTGGATCAGGTAAATATACCTACATCCTCCACTCAGTCTCCAGGATTCCTTGCCTTGCTCTATGTTTTTTTAAATCCTGTACTCCCTTTGAATCCCCCATGCAGTGTTGAAAGTGGGCATCTGGTCTACCTTTGGGGTCAGTGCTGAACTACTTCAGCTGCACCCTTCACTAAAACAACAGAAAGAAAATAGAGGTTGGCAGCAGGACCAACTTGCACATCTTCTAGCCAGGGGAGAATGCATTAGTATCTAAGGCGAATTCAACACTCATGAGGAAGGTGGCTGGAGCCAAGTGCTCCTGAAAGAACCCAAGTTAAAACTTCCAGGATGAGTCCAGTGAGAACAAAATCTAGGCAGGTTGTACCTACGTAGTGCAAGTACTAAGGAGAAAGGGAGTAGTCACCGAGGGTTCACCAGAGAGGATGTGACCAGAAATAGTAAGATGGCAAAGATTCCCAAAGGAGCCAGCATTTTAAAATGCTTAACAAAGTATAGTCAATAGCTAAGAGAGAGTCTCACAAGCACCAGAATATCTGAAACGAGTCTTTTAACCCTTCTTCTACCCGCCCTGACTATAGAACCATGAGGACGAAAGGCGGGCGAAGAGGTGAAACATAGGAAATGAGACTGGGCAGTTTCCTCCTTTGTTGTCCCCAAACTGAGTCAGGGCCAAGCTGAGGGAAAGGAAGGTCTGACAGTGAGAAATGGGTTTTGATTTGGACCGGATTTCTTCACACACCTGAATATTCAACTGCCCTAACACCTCAACAGGATTGGGATGCGATGGGATCTGCTAAGGAGTGGAGAATGGAGGATCTTAAGAGTATGTTTGAAGACAGTGATGGCAAAAAAATAATAAAGCTGTTTGTGATTGTACCCTACTAAGGTGAGTCAAGTCCACAATAGGTCGTACTGGGGGCTTCCCTGTGATGCTATTCCATAGGCTGATCTTGAGGGAGGACGTGAGAAACAAAACTACACAACTCACCTTCAGGAGGCTCCTTCAAAAGTCCATGGGAAAATGGAATTAAAAGATAAATTCATTTGGAACAAGGGATTTTGAAACCCATGCCTACTCATATCTCTATGAGCTTAGTAGCAAGGATAGTTCTGTTTCTCTGGACCAAATGCTGTGCTTTGAGCCAATGCTGTCAAATGAATTCAGACTTCCAGAGACAAAGGTCCACACGTTAGCACAGGTATCATTGACAAAACAAGTGTTAATGTATTAGTGTGCTTTTCATCATGATAACTAAATAGCTGGAACTACTTATCAGAGAAGGAGCTTCATTCTGGTTCATGCTTTTGGAAGTTCACCAGCCAACACTGGACAGGCTTCCTTGGTTTGGCCATCTGGGGAGGCCAGAGGATAGCAACAGCAGAGAACATGCAGAGGAATGAGCACATGGTAGCCAGGAAGCAGACAGCGGCTGAGCCTGAACCTTCCAGTTTTCTGAGATAGCCTTTGAAATTTAGGTGGAGGCCTCCATATCGCTATAATTCTGTTGGTCTCTGCTTACATGGTGGCTCTCTTGGACTGGCTTGGCATGCTGATGCCCGAGATTTTCCAAGGCTTGTAGGGCACGCTGCTTGCAACTTTCCCCAGGAGGTATTCCATGCCGCAGGCACTTTTACCTTTCTGGGGTCTGCATTGTAGCTTCACTCCCACAGCTCCACCAGGTATTGCTCCACTGGGGGCTCCATGTAAGGGCTCTAACCCTTTGGCACAACTCTGCTTGGCCTCCTGGGCTTTCCTTTGAAATTTCAGTGGGAAACCTCCATGACTCATAACTTTTGCATTCTGAGCAGCCATGAAACCATGGATACCAACACCAAGGTCTGCCACCAGCACGAGCCACACCCCAGCCCACTTGAACCAGGGCTGCCATGGCCTTAGAGCACTTTGCTAGCAAGCCAAAATCTGGCCCCAGCTCTGGCCCTGGGTGAGTAGAGCACCAGGCCTCTTTCTTGAAAGGATTGAACCCTGGAAGATCTCAGAAGCAAATTTTCACTTTGGAACCTCTGACCCTAAAATGGGAAGGGTAGCTTCAAGGTCTCTTTATATCTTTATTATCTTCAGGGTCTTTTTCCATTGTTTCGCCTATCCATATACAGCTCCCTTTGGTCTGCATGAATCCCTTTAGCAGGCAGTTTCTCTACAACACCTTCCCACTCCAAACAGATTGCCTTTTCTTTGCTTCTGCTCTGGCCAGGCTGTGTATTTCCCAAACCTTTCTGATTGGCCCTTGTGTTTCTCATTCTCACCGCAAAACTTGCTAAGATAAGTCAATAGCATCCATGCTGCAGCTTGAACACTTTGCTGCCTTTGAGTCTTTGCCCAAGGAACCAGTCCACCATCTTCAAGTTCAACCTCCCACAAAGCAGATGCACAACACGGCCACATTTTTTGCCTTTGCTCCAGTTCCCAGTAGAATCCTCATCCTCATTTCCACCTGAAGCCTCATAAGCACAGCCTTTGCTATTCAGGTGTTCATCAGCATTCTGGTCACCACAGCCTCCCAGTTTTGATGTTGCACCCTTCCCTCGTTCCCTTGTCTTCTGAGCCTTCACACCCATCACCCTTAATGCTCTGCTTACAGCACCCTAGGCTTCCTGTTGCCTGCTCCTCCAAACTCTCCCAGCGTTTTCTGGCACACCAATTCCAGAGACTCTTCCACATCTGAAGGTATAATTAGGGTAACAACTTGGCTTCTCAATACCAATGTTCTGGATTAGTCAGATTTTCATCACTACAACTAAAATATCTGAAAGAGGCCACTTAGGGAGGAGGAGGTTTATTTTTGCTCAGGGTTTTGGAGGTCCACAGCCCAAGACTGGATGGGCTTCATGGGTTCAGCCATGTGGTGAGACTGGAAGATGGCCCTGGCAGAGTGTGGGCATAGGGATGATCCCATGGCAAGTTGGGAAGCAAAGAGTGTGGCCGTGTTGAACTCTCCTGCAAGAACTACCTTCTACAGGTGTACCTTCCATGGCCTAAGGATTTCCCACCAGGGCCACCTCCTAAAATTCCTCATTGGATTAAGTTTCTACCCTCAGTACCAACAGCTTAAAACTTTGGATTTATTGGCTGCCTGATGAGGGTCCGTGTACTGTTAAAGCCACAGCACTCACACATGTTGACAAGTCAGCAGATCAACTTTTTAGTCTGTTTTATTGTAGTTTATACATTTTCTACAGAAACGTACACCCTTACTGCCTACACCCCAAGTTGACGCTCCCTCTGTTTTTATCCTCAGATTGCTGTGAATCGTGTTACACAGTTGAGTTTTCCCTCTAACTACTAGAAACCTTGGAGTCAATCTTGAGTGCCTTATCCCCTGCCAAAAGTACATTTTGTTGGCAGCCTCGGACCTGGCTCCAGTCTGGATTATTATCATTTGTTTTTAACTTTTATATTTCTTTTATTTTTTAATATCTCTTATTTTTAAACCCACTTCTAATTAAATTATCTTTGGGTAACTATCTTTGTAAGTACATTTAGATCCTCTGGGTAGAAGTATACATAAGCAATGTAACACACGGAAAGGATTCTCAGTGCACCTATTAAACAACTCTGTATGTATAGAATCACATGCGTAGTTCATTCGAGACATGAGACACAGATTTGCACAGCTCAAGAAGCACTGAGTGATCCATAGAATGCTTTTCTAGAAGGTTTCCTTAGGAAACAGCACCATGTGGCGTAACTCACCTACCCCAGTAGTGTGATCTCCCTTTGGTCCTGTGTAGGATGTGGGAGTTTCTCCCCTCCTCCTGTGCCAGCTGCTCCGGTTTCTTTTCTCCTGAGTAAATGAACATTCATCTTGTTCGAAAGTACACTCTCCAGGTGGAGGTGGGAGTCTCTCTGCAAAGAAACAGCAGGTGTTGCAGGTGCTGAGATGCTGTCAATGAATATGCATGACACGGCTTGCTGGCAGCACTGAGATGGCAGGCATTGGGCCCAGTGGTTAAGATGCGGTTAGGACACCCATGTCCCACTCTGGAGTGCCTGGGTTTGATTCCAGCTCTGGCTACTGACTTAGTTTCCTGCTGATGCAGGCCCTGGGAGACAGTGGTGATGGCTCATGTAGCTGGATTTCTGCCACCCATATGGGAAATATAAAGAGCTTCCCTGGTCCAGTTTTGTCCCAGCCTAGTCCTGGCCATCAAGGGCATTTGGGGAGTAAATCAGTAGATGGCAGCTCGCTCGCTCTCCTCTTGCCCACCTGTCTCTATTAAACACTGGGTAACTTTGAAGAAAAGTTTCTCTGACTTATGGATTCATTCACATGGATGAAGTTATAAAGCTCTGGAATTTGAAGGTATATTGCCTTTATGAAAAAAATGAAAATAATAAATTTGCATAACGCAGGGACATCCTTCAGAAATCCAGGGTGAGTGAAGGGAGCCCTCGTGACCACTCTAAAGCTGCTTGCAGGAAGAGGAGAGCATGGGAGAACTCAGTGTACTTCCAGAGGCAGAGCTGCGTGGAACAGAACATGTGACGCCTCTGTGCCTTAGGATCCTTACCTATACTGTGGGAACATTAATAGTATCCACTTCATGGGTTTGTGAGGAGTCAATGAGATGACGTACAAAGTACTTAGAACATTAAGTTCTTAAGGATTATTAATAAAATAACTATTAGAACATTTTTTCCAACCTAGACCCTTATTTTTCTTTTCCAAAGACAAGTATTTATGTCTTTGGCTGCTGTTTTCAATAACTTTAATAACTATTATTTATAGTGTTTATATCTTTCTATTTTCTGGGTCTTTCTCCTTTGGCTGAACTTGGTAATACACCCAAACTGTTAGCAAACTTCTCTAACAAATAGCCTAGTTTTGGTTTCTTATTATTTTGCTTCATTTGATTTGGCATACAACACTACCTAATGAAGCTGTATTTTCTCTTCTATGCCTTTAGTGTAGAGATTTTATCTGTACTGTATTTTCAGTACCACCTAAACCAAGGGACTAAAACCAAACTGCTTTTTAATGAAATAAACATGGAAATTATTCTCCAGTGCAGACTGTCACCCCAGTTTTCCTGTTAAAGAAATGCATATGGGGCTTGTGTTGTGGCCTAGCAGGTAAAGCTGCTTCTTGAAACACCCAGCATTCCATATGGGTGCCAACTCGTGACCCCGCCGCTCTAATTTCAATTCAGCTTCCTGCTGAGGCAACTGGAAAAGCAGAAGAGGATGGCCCAAGTGCTTGGGCCCCTTCTTCCTACATCAGAGATCTGCATGCAGCTCCTGGTTTCTGGCCTCAGCCTGGCCCAGCCCTGGCGGTTGTGGCCATCTGGGAGTGAATCAGTGCATGAAAGATCAATCTCTCTCTAACTCTGCCTTTCAAATAAATACATAAATCTTTTTTTGAAAAATGGATACCCCATCATTTAGGATGCAATGATAATTAGTAGATATAGACCAATGATCTGACAGGCTGAGAGATATGTATCATTTGCTTGCTAGACACAGTGCTCAAAATCATAGCCAGTGACCATGACTTTATTTTGTCAGTATCGTTAAGACTTGGTCTATTGCCCCACTGTCATTTAATCACTTACAAAATATTTATTTTATGAAAATTTTGAAATTATATATTTAGTGATATTAGTATCAATATTTCTTGAAAATTTACAGTCATGGAGACAGAAATAACCATATTAACAAAAACACTATTTATAATAGGAAATAACTGCTTTGAAAGTACTGTTTGGTCCAGGATCTATGCTAAGGAATATATACATACTATCCCCAATATCCAGGTAAGTGGTACTACTTCCCTTACTGATGAGATAGAGGGAAAGCTAAGTCTCATGGACCAAGACACTCATTACGTGTTAGACATCATTTCTAAATTCCAAACCCAACTACACAGTGCTGCAGAGAGGTACTTGTGCCAAGAATAACAAAGGATGGTCTAGCACAGATTAAACGTATGTGCTGTTTGGAGAACCTGGAAGTGTCACGTATGGGCCAGGGAGACAGGGAGGGAACGTTTGCCTTCTTACCTGAAGCCCAGCAGCTTCCCAACTGCACTGTAATGTCATCCAGGGCTACAAGCCCACAGTCCCAAAAACTTTTGCACAGGCTCATGAAGACCACCTGCAAGTCATAAAAATAAAGCTATGAATTCTGTGAACTGAAAATGAAAAGCTTTTCCAACCTGTCATTTACTGAGCACACCAGCAACTACAAACACCTCCTTTTCCACACAAATAACAGAATGCAGTGTTGTGAAGAATGGTCACCATTTCTATATGCCCCTGGAATAACATTATTTTTTAAAGCAGTCAACTTCATGATGATAAACTGAGTATCCTAATGCGTAAATGAGTGGCATTTCTTAAAGAACTGACAGCATAAATGAGGAAAGCAAGAGGTTAAGTGGGTGACAATGAAGAGCTGACCAGGTTTGAAATGTTTTCCCCAGATAATCCACAAAGTGCACACAGAGCTGATGGTTTTCCAAGCATTTTTCAAACATTTCCAGTACAAACACTATTGATTTTTTGGAAACGAGTTTCTGGCAACGTGCTCCATTCACGTTGTGAACACAATCCCAGCAATTTGCCATCTGGACACTTGTGTTCCACTTCCAAAGACAAAGATCTATGTCTCCAGTTGGTATCACCAATAAAAGCCCTAAATGCAGTTATTTTATCAGCCCACACGTTTTTACTGCTGTATGTGAGGGAGAAACAAATCCATAGTGTAAATTATTAAATTCACTGTGCCAGCAAGACAGAGAAAGAGAGAAAAGTCTTGGATTTCCTCCCATTGGGCCAATTTTAGAGGCTACTTTTCACATATAGAATGAGCAAAGAGAACTTTTGAAAACATTTATATTACATTAATTATATTTTCATAGCACTTGTAGTTATAAAGGTATTTTGCATTTGTAACTCAATATTTAATTAGCACAAGCTCCTACTGTCCATATTCAATCCCTCAATTACAGATCTCAATTCAAAGATAAAGAATGACAAAACAGAATCTAAAACCCAACTTATGGAGAGGGAGGATATATATATAGGTTGGCACATGCTCACTCGGACTTACTCCAGTGGTGGAACTAGAAATGTGCCAGGGGATTTCAACTCAGTCTTACCAAGGAGGCAGGTACCAATGCCAGTGCACTTGGTAAAGTGATAAGTATAAATACACAACCGATCAAAAAGATAGGGTATGTGTCGATGAGATTTCACAAATAAGACCAGTGTAAGCAAATAATGAAGGATAGAATTAAAAGGGAGAGAATGATCCTGCAGGGGAAACAGGACACGCAGCAGACTCATAGAATGGCAGCACTCCTGCCTCAGAATCAACCCTTGGGACATTCGGATCTGGCTAAAAGGTCCATGAGAGTCTCACAGGCATGGAAAGCCATGACACGGTGGCAAAAACAACCTAAATGAAAGATCCTGGTGAACAAGACCCCAGCAGAAGGAACAGGCCATCAAGGAGGGAGGCGCCTTTTTCTGAAGGGAGGAAGGAACCTCCACTGTGATACGGCCTTGACTAAACAAGTTCAGAGTCGGTGAACTCAAGGGGCTTCCATAGCCTAGACAGCTCATAGCAAGAGTCTCGGGTGATTGCTGACGTCATAAATAAGAGTGCCAATTGTTAAATCAACAACAGGAGTCACTGGGTACGTGCTCCCCACGTAGGATCTCTGTCCTTAATGTGTTTTACTATGAAACTTAAAAACAACACTACTAGTCGAACAATACCCTATACCTTGTGCGGTTGTGTGAGTGCAGCCTGTTGAAATCCCTGCTTAGTATATACTAAGTTGATCCTCAGTATATGAAGGTAATTGAAAATGAAACGTGATGAAGGGCGGGATGGGAGAGGGAGTGGGAGAGGGGAGGGCCACGGAAGGGAGGGAGGTTGGGGGGGGGAAGCCACAGAAATACAAAAGATGCACTTTGTAAATTCACATTTATTAAATAAAAAAATAACTATATAACAAACAAAAAAAAGAACTTAATACTTTACCCTTTTAGTATTTTTTATGTTCTACTGAAAACTATTGGTTGAACTCTGTAATTAATACACAATTACTCTTAGATGTTTAATTAATGCTATAACTAGTACTCAAATAGTATTTTACACTTTGTGTTTCTGTGTGGGTGCAAACTGTTGAAATCTTTACTTAATATATGCTGAATTGATCTCCTGTATATAAAGATAATTGAAAATTAATCTTGATGTGAATGGTAGGGAAGAGGGAGTGGGAGAGGGGAGTGTTGTGGGTGGGAGGGAAGTTATGGGGGGGGGAGCTATTGTAATCCATACACTGTACTTTGGAAATTTATGTTCATTAAATAAAATAAAATATAAAAAAAGATAAAACCCAACTTATGAATAATGAAAACATCTGATTATTTTAGGTTCTAATATTCAAAATGTTACATCTTAAATTTGTGTTATCAGTAGGATCCATTTTGGTCTTTGAAGATCAGATTCATGAGAATATTGAAACTATTTTAAAAGAAAATATAAAATCATGGGGCTGGTGCTATGGCGCAGTGGGTTAAGCTACCACCTATATTGGTGCCAGTTCAAGTCCTGTCTGCTCACTTCTGTTCCAGCTCTCTGATTATGGCCTGGGAAAGCAGTAGAAGATGACCCAAGTGCTTGGGCCCCTGCACACAAGTGGGAGCATGCATGTGGGAGACCTGGAAGAAGCTCCTGGCTCCTGGCTCCTGGCTTCAGGCTAACCCAGTCCCGGCTATTCTGGCCATTTGGGGAGTGAATCAGTGGTTGGAATATATATAATATATAAAATTATACATAATATAATACTTATATATTATATAATATACAATATCATATTTATATATTATATAAATGTATATATTATAAATTATATAAATTATAAACATATAATTTATATATTATATAATATATTATATCTCTATATTATATAATATAAATTATAGCTATAATTTATATATATATTTTATTTATATAAAATCATGTGACAAGTTACAAGTATGCAAAATATAAAATGCCTTGAGCCAAGAGCCTTGGAATAATTACTAATTGCAAGATGTGTGAAGGTTTACTTACACTGTATTCATATTGATTTAAATGATAAAAAGGATGGCTTGGAGCTGTAACAACATTTAAGTAGGTAGGTTTACAGAGAACAAAATAAAATGTGGTGAGCTCTTTTGGGTTTTGCATTGTTACTGTTCATTTTCATCTCTTTATTAATTCTAGAGATTGCTTGATCATATAAAATATTTCACTCACAGGATTTGTGCCTGAGAACTTCCTCCCTATTTGCAAAGCAAATGTCTGTGTCATCAGCCCTGAGTACAATTACATTTTGTCAGCAATTTTTACTGTTAAATAGGAAGGAAAATTAATCTGGCTCATAATTTATTGGATTAATTGTGCTATAGAGGACAAAAATCTTGGCTTTCTTTCCTTTTGTCAGCTTTAGTCTTTCACAGGTGTTGTTAAAAAAGTTTTTCAAGGCTGGCGCCGCGGCTCACTAGGCTAATCCTCCGCCTGCAGCGCCGGCACCACGGGTTCTAGTCCCGGTTGGGGCGCTGGTTCTGTCCCGGTTGCTCCTCTCCAGTCCAGCTCTCTGCTGTGGCTTGGGAAGGCAGTGGAGGATGGCCCAAGTGCTTAGGCTCTGCACCCACATGGGAGACCAGGAGGAAGCACCTGGCTCCTGCCTTCGGATCGGCGCAGCACATCTGGCTGTAGCAGCCATTTGGGGGTGAACCAACAGAAGGAAGACCTTTCACTCTGTTTCTCTCTCTCACTGTCTAACTCTGCCTGTCAAAGAAAAAAAATTTTTCAAGGGGCTGGTGCTGTGGCGCAGCAGGTTAAAGCCCTGGCCTGAAGTGCCAGCATCCCATATGGGCGCGGGTTCTAGTCCCGGCTGCTCCACTTCCAATCCAGCTCTCTGCTATGGCCTGGGAAAGTCCTTGGGCCCCTGCACCCATGTGGGAGACCTGGGAAGCTCCTGGCTCTTGGCTTCGGATCGGCACAGCTCCAGCCGTTGTGGCCATTTGGAGAGTGAACCAGTGAATGGAAGACCTCTCTGTCTCTACCTCTCTCTGTAACTCTGTCTTTCAAATAAATAAAATAAATAAATAGACTTTTTCAAAATGAATGCGTGGTAGGGATAGATTAAGATGTAAATCTTTACATACATAAACTCACATGATAATGTTTTTCGGAGTAGAAACAGTAACATATTTTCACATGTTTACTATAGCATTGTTTTGTAATGACCACAAAATCAAAACAAGCAAGCAAACAAATAAAATAATCTAAAATCTCAAAAACAGAGGAAATAAACAAACTATGGTACCACAGTGTAACACGTAGGACATAATTAAATCTGATGGTTTGTGAATATAATTCGTAGAACAGAAATATATTTATTTCCTAATGTTAAGTGAAAAAAAACATGGTTAAAATAAAATAAGATATAATCATATCTAAATTACCTAAAATGCATTGGAAAAGCCTAGAAAATTCATTAAATTTATAATAATTATGTTAGGCTAATGAAATTATCTATACTAAACAGAATCTCTTCTTATATACTAAACATTCTATAATTTTATTAAATTTGAAAAAAAAAAGAAATCAAGGTTTCTAAGGTTCAAAATCATGAGTTAGTGTTTCCTAGACCAGCACTGTGCGGTATGGTAGCCAGTAAGCATTATCTGCTATGTTAAGTCAGCAGGTCTTGTGTTAATTTCCATTAAAATTAGGGGTGCGCATTAGGCATAGCAGTTCCAGGTCAACTCTGGAACTGGGTTTGAATGTAGTGCCTGGGTTTGAATGGTAGCTCCACTTCTGATTCTATCTTCCTGCTAATGTGCACCCTGGGAAGACAGCAGGTGATGACTCAAGCAATTGGGCCCCTGCCACTCATGTAAGAGACTTGGATTGTGTTCTGGGCTCCTAGCTTCAACCTGGCCCACCCCCAGATTTTGCAGGCATTCGGGGAGTGAACCAGCAGACAGAAGATCTTTATATCTATGTCTGTCGCGCTGTCTTTCAAACAAACAAACAAAAAACAGATTTAAAAAATTTAATTGAAATGAAATAAATCTGAAAATTCCTTT